AAAAAAAAAAAAAAAAAAAAAAAAAAAAAAAAAAAAAAAAAAAAAAAAAAAATTAAATGGTGTTTATGAATAGCCTACAGCATGCTTGTCCTTGGCGGCATGGACCTTGAAACATCATAGAGTTGTAGCAATAATCATGGCTCCAGCCAATACCTCCACCATGAGGATGGAATCTCAGAAAGCTAAGGAATAGGCTGGATCCAGCTGCCAAAGCCATGGCTTTAATCCTAGCCATATAGCTTAGCAAATTAAAGGCTCATGTGGTCAGAAAAAGAGGATACAGTAAAGATGGTTTCAGAGGGGAAAAAAAGCCTATAAACAACTTACAGTGTGTTTAAAAAAATATGTAAGCTTGAAAAAAAAAGGTTAAAGTCCTTAAAATAAAAAAGACAGGAAGAAAGTAGTTGGGTGTGTTTGCACATACCTTTAATCCCAGCACTTGGGAGGAAAAGGTAGACAGATCTTTGAGTTTACAAAGTAAGTTCCAGGATAGAAAAACATACACAGAGAAACCCTGTCTCAAAAAGCCAAAAATTAAAAAATAAAAATGAAAGAAATAGAGGCTAAAATAAAGCCGTGTAAAGATGAAAAATACATAGAGTCTGGATACTGTATGTTATTGTGCAAACAGCACAATTATTTGAATATTGAGGAAGGAGCAATAGCTGCTAAAAGATAATTGCTTATAAATGCTACAAAATTAATCCAAGATAGGTATTTTGAAAATACCTTGTCTTTAAAAATTGAAGTCAAAAGGTATATTATTTTGGAGAAGAGATTTTGCTTTTGTTTCCACAAGAAATGAGAGGCTGGTGGTATACAGGAAATTTAACTTTGAACACTAGGAAATTGTGTGCCTTAACAACTTTACTAAAAATGAGCTATTGTTCAAGGAGATTTTTTTCCCCTTGATTCTGTCTTATTGCATTAGGTATGAGGCTGAATCAGGATGACAGGAGACATCTTTGCCTAGCTCTGTAACTAGAGAAAACATCTACATTTCCACTATTAACTATTTAGGATTTTGAAGATACTCTTTCTCAAGGCTAAGATACCTTACTGTTCTTGGGAGGCCAAGATATAGATTTATAGGTAGCTGTGAGCCACTCAACATGGACTGGGAACTGAACTTGAATCCCCTAGAAAAACAGGAAGCATTCTTAATTACCAAATCAACTCTCTAGACCCCCAAATTACAATTTGCTATTAAATCTTATCACAGATGGCAAAGTTGTTTTCTGTATTTTTTTTTTGTGTGTGTGTGTGTGTGACTATAAGACTCATCTGCCTCACTTTTGTGGTGATTGACTGAAGAAGTTTGGTCCAGGTTTTTGTTCTCATTAAGTTATAAACAGACATACAAAGCAAGTTAAAGTTTTATTCATAGAGAAAGTCACTGAGAAAGCAAAACTTGGTACATTGGGAGAAATGATGGCAATCACCTTGTGATGGTAGTCGGGGAGTTATTTTTATGAGCTCAGAGTTGTTGATAAGAGCAGATCATATGCTTCTGTCTCTTCTAGTAATTATGAACAAAGGCAGAGAATCATGTCTTGGGGACATGTATATTATTCACTGTAACTTAACATGCAATTGGAGTCAATTTTCCCTTATGAACAGTAGGTCACAAAATTGTTATTAAGCAGAAACTTTAAACACTGCACATGCTAAGGTCTTTTGTAGCTGACCAACCATGCATAGATGTATCTCTAAAACTTTTTAGCCCAAGATAATACTTCCTTAAGTTATTTTTCTCAGATATCTTGCCAATGACTGAGGCATAATCAGAAAACTAAGTCAAGTTCAAGTAAAACAATGGAGCAAGAATTTATTTATTTTAATGGCATTTCTTTTGTGGAGAGCAGGCTTTGAGGACTTGATTGGTTTTCTGGTGATTTCTGTTTCTCAAACGACAGAAAACAAATTTTTAATAACCCCTTTTTATGATCTTTTATTGTATAATAGGAACAATTTATTTTTTTCCCTTTTTTATTGAGCTATATATTTTCTCCACTCCCCTCCTTTCCTACCCCCACTCCTTCTGCCCTCGACCATGAAACCCATGCTCCCAATTTACTCAGATCTTGTCTTTTTCTTCTTCTTCCCATGTAGATTAGATCCATGTATGTCTCTTTTAGGGTCCTCTTTGTTATCTACATTCTCTGGGATTGTGACTTATAGGCTGGGTTTTCTTTGATTTATGTCCAAAAGTCCCTTATGAGTGAGTACATATTATGTTTGTCCTTCTGAGTCTGGATTACCTCAATGTTTTCTAGATCCATTCATTTGCCCACAAACTTCAAGATATCATTTTTTCCCACTGTATGTTCAGTTACTCCATTGTGTAACTGTAACATGTCTTTTTTATCCATTCTTCAGTAAAGGGCATTTAGCATGTTTCCAGGTTTGGGCTGGGCTATAGTTGAGCCTTGTGGTATGATTGAGCATCCTTTGGGTATATACTCAAGAGTGGTATTGCTGGGTCTTGAAGCAGGTTGTTTTCTAATTTTCTGAGAAATCGCCATACTGATTTCCAAAGTGGCTGTACAAGTGTGCACTCCCACCAGAAATGGAGGAGTGTTCCCTCTATCCCACAACCTTTTCCAGCACAAGTAGTCATCAGTGTTTTCAATCTTGGCCATTCTTACATGTGTAAGATGGAATCTCAGAGTTGTTTTGATTTGCTTTTTGCTGATAGCTAAGGATATTGAGCATTTCCCTAAATGTAATGTCTTTCAGTCATTTTAGAATCATCTGTTGAGAGTTCTGTTTAGGACTGTACCCCATTTTTGTTATTTGATTATTTGTTCTTTTGATGACCAATTTTTTGAGTTCATATATTTATAGACCAGCCCTCTGTCCAGTGTGGGGTTGGTGAACATCGTTCCCATCCTGTATGCTGCCATTTTATCTTGTTGACCTTGTCCTTTTCTTTAAAGAGGCTTCTCAGATTCAGGAGGTCCCATTTATTAATTTTATCTGTGCTACTAGGGTTATATTTAGGAAGTGGTCTCCTGTGCCAATGTGTTCAAGTGTACTTCCCACTTTCTCTTCTATGAGGTTCAGTGTGGTTGGTTTTATGTTGAGGTCCTTGATCTATTTGGACTTGAGCTTGGTGCATGGTGATAGACATTAATCTATTTTCATTCTTCTACATGTTGGCACCCAGTTATGCCAGCACCATTTGTTAAATATGGTTTTTTTTCCATTTTATATTTTTTGCTTCTTTGTCAAAACTCAGGTGTTCATAGGTGTATAAATTGATATCTGGGTCTTCAATTTGGTCCTATTGGACCTCCTGTCTGTTTTTATGCCAATACCATGCTGTTTTCGTTCTACTACAGTAGCTCTATAGTAGTTTGAAGTCAGAGCTTGGGATGCATCTAGAAATACCTTTATTATACAAGATTGTTTTGGCTATCCTGAGTGTTTTGCTTTTCCATAAGAAGTTGAGTACTGTTTTTTCGAGGTCTGTGAAGAATTTTGCTGGGATTTTGATGGGCATTGCATTGACTATGTATTGAATGTAATGGCATTTCAATTTTATTTTAATAAATAAAGACTGCCTCAAGATCTGAGAATAAAACAGTCCTACTAGTCAGCCTTATAGACCAAATATGGTAACACACATCTTTATTCCCAGTTGCCACAATGACATGCGCCTTTAATCTCAGTAGTCACACTAGTTGTCATAGAAATCAGGTGGCGCATGCCTTTAATCCCAGCCCTAGAGAAGAATAAAAAACGGGGCAAGACAGCTCTTAGATGCAGTTTCATTCTGAGATTCTAGGAGGCAGGATCGCCATTTAATACTGAGCTCAAGGTAAGAGTCAATGGCTGTTTTGCTTTTCAAATCTTCAGAATGAACTCCAATTTCTGACCTTGAGCCTTCATTTAACCATGTTTCAGATTAGTTTTGCTAAATTTGCCGTTTTTATTATGTCAATTCTACCTACCCAAGAGCATGGGAGATCTTTCCACTTTATGGTGTCTTCTTCAATTTCTTTCTTCAAAGACTTAAAGGTGTTGTCATCAAGTCTTTCATTTGTTTGATTGGAGTTATGGAGTGAGAAATCTTAATATAGGAGCATATCAAATAAAATATAATAGTCAACATTATTTATTTCCTGGGGCTTAATTTCTAACCAGATAGATTGTGGCACACTAAAACAAATTTGTTTGTAATTATCATTTATAGGGAAAATATTCCTAACCCAAAAATATTGGAATTCCTAACCTGAAATAATAGGGATTCAGATTATAGATTAAGAATCATCCAGTAAATTCTATGCAAATATTCATTAGAAAAAATAATTTTTCTCAATCCCAGCACTACAAAACCAACAATTTTCAAATCTGAAACACACCTGGTCTCAATGTTTCAAATACAGAATACCCAATCTGTATCATATCTGAGTCAATGAAATAACAAATTCTATATATACACACTTTTTGCTGGGTTTTGGGTTTTGGAAACAGTTTATCTGTGTAGCTTTACCTGACCTGGAAATTGCTCTCTAGACCAGGTGACCTCAAACTCACAGAGATCTGACTGCCTATTCATCCCGAATGCTGGGGTATTTTACTTATTTTAAAGAGGAGAAAATAAAATAAACAAGGAAAGTGTGACTTACAATAAGTAGAAAGCAGACAAAAGCACACATACGCTCTGAGAAAGTATGATACTAAGTAAGTTTAGAATTCTCTAGTTTAGCATCTATATAATCCTGAGTCTTTAGAATATCTTATCTGAGAAAACTTTGATATGTTTATAAATATATATATATCACACCATCAATAGTTATATTTTTAGAAAAAATTATAGAATATTCAGTTTTAATGATAATCAAGAGCAAATGAAAATAAGTTATCTAGCACATAACACTTATTAAAGTAATTTTCAGGGCTGAAGATGTAGCTCTGTTGATAGAGTGCTTGCTTAGCATGAATGAGACCCTGAGCTCAGAACAAAGCACAACACACCTGCAGTCCAGGTAATTAGGAAGCCACAGGGTTAGCAAACGTGAGGACAGTGAGAGCTACAGGAGACCCACCTCAAGGAAGAAAACAAACAAAAACCTCAAGCTAGTTTTAAATATTAGTTGTTTGTTTATTCTGTTATTTTGAGACAAGTCTCTCTATATAGCCCTGACTGTCCTGAAACTCACTTTGTAGACCAGGCTGGCCTGAAACTCACAGCAATCCTTCTGCCTCTAGCTCTCAGGAGCTAGGATTAAAGACATGGACAACCATGTCCACCTAAACATTAGCTTTTTATTATTTCAACTTATAACACATCTAGAAATAAAAGCCTATCCATAAACTTGATATGCAAATATATCATTTACTATATTAGATTGCTTACTTAATATGCATAATGTCCTGAGTTTAATCCACAGCACAAGAAAAAAAATTAAATGACTAAATAATTGTTAAATAATAAATAATTAAATAAATACGACCTAATAACAGAAGGAATTCAAAAAACTTGAATAGTAAAACAAGTTTAAAAATAAAAATGTTACATTAGCAAAACCACAAATTTTATTGTTTTATTTTGTTGGGGTTTTTTCTTCAGATATTTATGTTGTTATTTCAAAATCACACATCCATAAAAATTTCCCAAAGAATATTGAAGGAGATAAGGAACATTAAATGCTTCAAAAGTCTAGAATGTTTTTACTTATATTCTAACACACAGTTTAAAATTTCAACATATTGAGTGAACTGAAAAGGCATGTACAAAAGCAGTATAAGTGATTTCACAAAACAAAGAAGGTAGTGAAGGCTTATAATCGCAGTCAGTCCTCAACAAGCCTAATGCCAGTTGTGATACACAAGTCCCTATTTCTAAATATAAAAGGAAGATGGACTGTGGCTTTGATTTGCAAATAATATTCTTTATTTAAATAGTCCTGTGTTTGCTTTATCCGTGGATGACAAGAATCCATACTCTGTGAAAACAGACCATCATTTTACTGATGGAAGGCTTCCAATCTTATTTGTGTTGGATCTTCTGGATGTCTCAAAGCAATTCCATTACGCAGAAGCAGCTCAATATATGGTGGCCAAAATGAATCACTAATTTTAACATATGGATCATGTGGAGCATCAAACATTCTATTTATAAGCATCTAAAGAAGAAATTATTAGAAATGAACTTTTTGTGGGAAAAAGTCTACATACTTTCATAAAACAATCCAAAGCTCATTGACTACTCCTCTCCTTGAAGGCTGCTCATAAACATTATAATTAAGCAATATCCAGTTTTAAAGACTACATTATTGGATGGAATATATATTCAAATGAAAACATTTCCTAAAACCTGCCTAAAAATATTTACAACTTTCCTATTATTCTTAGTACAATTCATTTAGGACATGGCAAGGATCACAAGAATTAAAAGTTAGATAGATAATGTATAGAAAATTTAGCTGGCTACATAGGCCCTGGATTTGATCTCCATCACTGAAGGGACAAAAATTAAAATTAGACAAACTACACAAATTTCAAAAGAAAGCTAGCAATACTCTCTGAATATCTGAAGGGGAAAGAAATAACCAGCTCAACCCTATTCTTTTGATAAATCTTTAAAACAGTTAAGTTGGCCATCATCAGTTCCTTCACTCTCTCCAGGAACGTTTGATCACTTTATCAAGGATATCAAAGGCTTACAACCAAATCTGACAAACATTTTTACAGGGCAGCTCTTCCCAAACCATATTGACATGAAGTGGTGTCCCTTATTAGATTCTAAGGCATTGAAAAACAGGATTCTCACCCTAGGTGAACATTAAGAGATGATTCAATAAAGAAAATTATATATATATACCACGTAATTTTATTCATCTATAATAAATAAAATTGTTATTTTTCAGGAGGTGGAACTAGAGAATATCATGTTAAGTGAAATAAGTGAAACTTAAGACACGCAAAAATCCTGTTTCCCTTACACTGGAGTATATGTGTGCACATGTGTGTAAATATGAATGGTGTGAAAGCAGAGAGGGAGAAATATACAGGACAGAAAGAAGCATAGAGAAGAGGAGAAAACAAGAGAGTTGATGAGGGGAAGAAAGGAAATAAGGGAGACGATTTGGCGATCAAGGGGATAAAGACACGTGTATGTGAAAATACCATAATCAAGCTTATAATTTTGTATGCTACCTCAAAATCTTAATTAAAAAATAAGAGGAAAGAAAATGAAGATTTTGTCATCACACCAGAAAGTTCAGAGAAGCTAGCCAATGAGATCTGAGAATAAATGGTCTTTCGCAAATCAACTGGCATTTGTGGAGATTTTTCATGAAGCAACAATATTTAATTATTGGAAAACTAATATCTCATAAATTATGGTAAAAATCACAAATGTCCTTTATTATTCTGCTTCTTCATATACCTCCCAGTGTTTTAACAATTTATGAAACTAGAATTTAGAACTAAGAGGAATTATGGATTCCTTAGGCACACATAATTCATGACAAATCACTAACTGCCAGGTAAATTTTAATTAAAGGCATTATTTTAAAGAACATGAAAAAGCATAATTCATACAAATATAAAGTTTTACAAAGTGACTAAAATCTTCCTTCCAAGCTCTAATCTCAATTATGCTCATAATATTAATATTTAAATTTATAAAAATATCGACTACCACTAGTTTTCTTATTCAGCCTGGGAAATGAAAAGGTCAGAATCCCGTTTCTTTTAAGTATCATGATAAAAAAAATACTTTCATGCTGGGCGATGGTGGCGCACGTCTTTAATCCCAGCACTCAGGAGGCAGAGGCAGGCGGATCTCTGTGAGTTCGAGACCAGCCTGGTCTACAGAGCTAGTGCCAAGACAGGCTCCAAAGCCAGAGAAACCCTGTCTCAAAAAAAAAAAAACAAACAAAAAAAACACTTTCATATTTTAGAGTAGCTGTTTATTTCAGTTGAAAAGTTTATGAGCTAGATATATAACTGAGTGGCAAAGCACTTGTCTATGGCAAGAACTTGCATTCCATCCCAATACCACAGAAACCAAAGTGATCTTATTTCATATTTCTAGATTGATTAGATTACATTAATTAAAATTCTAATAAAAGACAGCAGAAATATGCTGAAAACACATTTAAAATGAGTATGTTAATTTTTCACTAAATTATAGCTTACATATTACTTATTTTTGTCACTCATAATATGAACTTCAGAGAGATATTTGGTTTTCTAAGTTTTATCCCATGGCATACCATTAAAATTTATAACCATGTGTTTCAGATAAAGTTTTCAATATTTTTCATAAAGTATAATTTAAAATTTTTATTGCATTTGCTTCTTTGTGTGCACATGCATATCTCCTCTGTCTATGTGCACACATGTTTGTATATTCATCTTTGTGTATGTGTGTGCACTGACAAGTTGGAGGACACCTTGCAGGAACTGGCTCTCTCCATACACTACATATGGTCCGAGGGATTAATTCACCCCACTGGGCTTTGCAGCAAGCACATTTAACCACTAAATGATCTCATTGGCCTAACGTGACATCTTTTATTTTAAAAAAGATAATACAACCAAGAAAAGTTACAGTTTCAGCTTAAACCAGTAAAATCAGGAATATGTAAACAGATTCTGATTATAAATCAAAGAAATATTTCTATCTCGTGTTTCATAGCAAAAATATTTAATAGGAAATATTCTTACGCAGCAAACCTGAGATTCGGTACCCAACACGTTGAGTCAGAATGAAACATGCTTTCTGAAAACACTCTTCTCAATTTACTAGTTCTATAGCTGAGAGAAGGGAACATATGCCCCCATCACTAATCCAGAAGCTATCTCCAATTGATAACCACTTGCAAACAAAAAAATTTGTTTTCTCCAAGAGAATCATACTGGGGAAACAAACCACTCTTAATCATACACAGAAGTAGATAGCCAAAAAACAAAAAAAAAAAAAACGAAAACCAAAAAACAAATTCAATGGCATCGTTGGAGGTTGTCTCCTAATATTGTGGGAGGGCTTTTGAAAAACCTTTTAAGTCTTTAGCATATATGAGTGTGTATATGTGTGTATACATATACGTGTGTGTGTGTGTGTGTGTGTGTAGGCTTCTGGGTTTTTATTTTACAGAATTCCTTAGTGTATAAACGTCCATTTCTCTGTATCTGTATGTGTTTCTTGTGCTTTTTCTTTAGCTTTTTTTCTTCTGTTTATATTGTCCTATCCAATGTTTGTTTTTGTTTTATCTTATTTTATTTTATTATTACTCCTTAGATGCCTGTTTGTTTTCTCACAAAATGGGTTTAGATTCAGACGGGAAGGTGGGGAGGAGCTGGGAGGATTGGTGGGAGTGGAAATCTAATCAGAATACAGTGTATAAAAAATGTTCTAAATAAAGCAAAAAACATTTAAAAATTATAAAGTACACTACTACTTGCTTTTCATAAACTTCTCTGCCTAGAGTTTTCTAAAATAATGCATATATTTAATAACCTATCCAAAATTCAAATACATTTTATAATGCCAAAGATATCTTAAATCAAAATAAAAGTCAAACTAAAAAGGTTAGAATTAGTCTTTCTACTGTAATAAATGAAGCTTTTATATCGGGAAAAATTTTATATTCATTTATATGTTTTAGGTACAAGACTCAGTTGTAAACTAAATTTTATCAGCATAACAGCACAAGATGTTAAGGTGCAAATAGTAAATGACTAAATAAGAGACCTTATTAGAGAATCAAATATTCTTAATAGAAAATCAAAGTAGCATTTTTTTGTCTTAAGTATAATTGTTCACAAAAAAGATAGCTCAAATTAAAAAATTTAAAACTACACTTACCTCTATTATTTCATGCAGTGTTATCAATTGTGCATTTGATGTTTGCATGCATTTCTTTGAGAAATGTAAATAATAATTAACATTGTCAGAAATCAAACTATATATTACAAGACTTAAAAACAATTTCTTACTTGTAATTATAGAAGGTAACTAAAGTCAAATTCTGAAAGTAAACAACTTTATAATACAAGTTAGAATCTTTAAAATGTGAGGGAAAAATCTTCTATGATAGTAAAAAAATCCTTAAATTATTATAAAATACAATTCAAACAACCTATAAACAGACAATATATTATATTATACATATTGTATATAAAAATACAAAGTAGTATGTTTGAACCAGACAAAAATTTTCCAAGCAGATTGTATTCTATTACATTTCAGGGAGGCTTCTAAGGGAACCTTCCTTGTAACCTCCCCATAGACTGACATTTCCTAATATTAACATTAACTCAATTCACCAATTTTTTTCTCTTCGAATAACATGAAATAACTCATCAAAAAATTGGAAGACAGTCACTATAATACTCAAGTGTTTCTCCTATTAATCCTCATTAGTCCCTTCAACTCTGTTTCATAACATAGATTTGAAAGCCCTCATTACTATAATTAAGGTTAAAAATTCCAGTGTTGCCTGGTGGTGGTAGCACACGCCTTTAACCCTAGCACTCAGGAGGCAGAGGCAGGCAGGGCCAGCCTGATGTACAGAACAAGTTCTAGAATGGCTCCAAAGCAACAGAGAAACCCTGCCTTGGAAAAATAGACAGACAGACAGACAGATTCCAGTCTCCCAAATGATCCAGGTGTGATTTAACCATCAAGAATTAAAAAAAAAAAAAAAAAAAAAACCTTGCTTTGATAACTGAAGATGCTAGAATGCCATTCATTAAATTTCTGGACATCTATTTAATACTGTTAACTTCTGAGAATTATATAACCTAAAATGCAAAGTACTGGGCCAGGCATGGTGGTGGCACATGCCTCTAATCCCAATATAGGAGGAAGAGGCAGTCAGAACTTCATGAGTTTGAGGTGAGCCTGGGCTAAATTGTGAGTTTAGGTTAGGCTACATAGTAAAACTCTGTCAAGAGAGAAAGAGAGAGAGAGAAAAAAAAATGTGTGTGTGTGTGAGAGAGAGAGAGAGAGAGAGAAAGAGAGAGAGCAAAACACAATTATTCTTGAAGAAAGATAACTGAATAAAGCTGGATCTCAAAATCTAATACCTAGCTAAGTAAAAATGAGTAGTTAAAATACCGTTATTGGTGGAGAAAGGCATAGTTACAGAACTAACTAGCTAAAAGTAAAACAGATTAAATTTAAATAGTTTTGCTGGTCATAGAAATTCTTCTTAACAAATCATTTGGTTAAAAAATTATTGGGTTAAGAAGCTTGAAAGACAGCTTAGTGGTTAAGAGCACCGTCTGTTCTTCCAAAAAACTTAGGTTCAATTCCTAGCACTGACATGGTGGCTCACAACCATTTATAACTCACACATGTGGAATACAAATATATATGAGTCAAAACACCTAGATGCATAAAACTAATAAATAAAAAAGAAAACCAAAAAGATTTAAAAATATTATTGGCTGAAATTTAAGAGCTGGTAAAAAAAATAAGTAATGAATCAAATATAAAAGAATAAAAGGTAAATACACATACTAATCTAAAGTTTTGGTTTTGGGGGGTATTTGTTTTGTTTTGTTTTAGTTTTAGTTTTCCAAGACAGGATTCCTCTGTAACTTTAGAGCCTGTCCTGGACCTCACTTTGTAGACCAGGCTGACCTTGAACACACAAAGATCCTCTTGCCTCTGCCTCCTGAGTACTGGAATTAAAGGTGCACCACCACTGCCTGGCAAAACCATAGTTTTTTTTAATACAAGATAAATACTGAAAGCAAAAAATTAGAATGGGGGTATAGATAGAAAATTGCTAATTTTCTCATTTCCATATCAGTAAATTCATACTACTTAAAATTGAAACATGAAGTCATACAAACTTAGAACATATCATATTTTTCATAATTTGTTTTTTCTATTAGAGGTCTCTAGTGCTCAAATCATTTGAAGCAAAGAAATGTTTATCTGAGCTCAACATTTTACCTTCATTTCTCTTCTATGAAAGTTAATTAAAATCACATTTATCATTCATAATATAGTAACAAGTATAAAATCCCACTGCTCCAATCAACCATCAATCTGTTTCTATACAAATTGTGTTTAGAACAATGACTTCATTTTAGTAAGAACCATGTTAGTGACTCAGTAACATGTTAATGATAAGAAGAGACTTGGGTTTTTAGCCTTTTTTTATTCACAATTAAGTTGTAATGTTCATTTTCGAAAGTGTAATTTTGTATCTCAAAAGTATGTGTTGACACTCAAATGCAATTGTACATGGAAACAAGACCATAATAAGTAATCAAGTGTTAAATGAGGTCAGCAGGGTAGGGGCCAAAACCAAAATGAGAGATCTGTGTGTGTGTGTGTCTGGTGTGCTCTGTACCGGCAAGACAATAAGAAAACTTAAAAAATTCTTTTCTCCCTGAATGCAGGCCAGAAATCAATGTGAACAGAATGAGAAGGTGCCAGCTCTCAGCCAGGAACAGAGCTAATTAGGAACTAACCCTGACAGGTCTTTGATCTTGTACTTTCTAATGAAAAATAAATTCCATTTTTATGCCAAGGTGTTTGGTTATGGCAGCCCACTAATAAAGTATCAATGCTGGCAAGATAAATAGGAGCAGAAAGGGACAGAGGTAAACAGATGCAGTGGAAGTAAAGAGATTTCCTTTATGTTGTTCTCTGATCTCCAAACACAGGATGTGCAACACAAGCATGTGCACACTATCTGCACAAATCATATGCACACAAATAAAATATAAAATCTGTAAAAATGTCTCCAACAAATTCCCTTCTACTAAATAATAAAGTAGCTCTAATTCTTCAGTGACTATAACAGGATGAAGGCATATTTGTGTATGTTTCCTTATGCCTTCATTCCTTTGCTTTTGTTTATACACACACACATATCCAACAGCTACAATTATAACAATCTAAAAGAATATCTTCTCTGAAACTTACCTTTTTCTTTTTACTAGTCCCATCAGGCAGAGGAAAATGATCTTCTAAAAACTCACCCAAGGTAAACAGAAGTTTCTCCTTAAAATCTTTTATACTAAGCATCTTAGCTTTCAGCTCTTTAACGATTCTAACAATAAAAAATAATAAGGCAAATATTTAACTGATAAAATACATTTGTGCATGCTTCTGGTTATACATGAAGCTGATCAAAGTTGCTGAAACTTCATTTGATCCACATAATTAGAGAATATTCTTTATAACATGTAATGACACTAGTAAACCATTCAAAAAAGAAGAAACAACTAATAGTTGGCGAAAATTTGGGCAAGTGTTAGATTCCTAATAAAATGAGACATCTTTTTTTTCAAATTTAACTTTATATTGATTCTTTGTGGATTTTACTGATATGGGATGGCCTTCTGTATGTGTTGCTTTTACTGGCTAATGAATAAAGCTGCTTTGGCCTATGGCAGGGCAGAATATAGCCAGGCTGAAAAGATAGAGAGTAGGCAGAGTCAAGGTAACGCCAGGTAGCTGCCGAAGAAGGATGCCACTGGAACCTTACGGGTATGCCACAGTCTCATGGTTATACACAGATTAATAGAAATGGGTTAATTTAAAATGTAAGAGCTAGCAAGAAATACACCTAAGTCATTGGCCAAACAGTTTTGTAAGTAATATAGTTCGTGTGATTATTCAGGTCTGGGCGGCCAGGAACAAACAAGCAGTCTCCAGTTACATTCCACATCATGCATCTCAATTCCACATTTCCCCACCTCTTCCCATCTGTCTTTCTACCCTTGTAACATCTTGCCCACAGGATAAAACAAGATAAAATTTAAAAGAGGAAAAAAAGAAAAGAAAAATCTCATGGAAGCTGTAGTGTGACACAGGGAACTACATAGTCCTTTGTCCATATGTTGTTACTTGCAAGTGTTCATTATATTGAGTTGTTAGTCTGGTTTGAGGTCTTTGGTTTTTACTATATCATCAACATTAGGCCCTCACTAAGGCTCCTCTTAGGTATCCTGTTGTCCTGTATCATGGAGATCCCATAACTTTGGGTATGTAGGACCAAGCCCTTCATGTGCTCTAGCAGATCATAGACGGGAAAGATGTTGGGATGGGCCAACTCATAGCTCTAGTTCTCGGTCTGGGTGGCTGCTGGGTTGGTTATGGGCCAACTCTCCTTCATCCTCAATACCAGGATGGAACTGCCCCAGTAAGTTCACCCTAAGTAGTAATCAAGGGGAGGTACTGATTCTCCTACCTCATAACCTCTGGGTTGTCTTGCCAACACCTACAACCCCTGGGCCAGCTCTACTATCCTGTCAAGTCAAGGTGTAGGGGCCACTCTGCCAAGTGCTGCAGCTGGTAAGAGGCAGAGCTAATCCTTTCCCTCTAGTGACCTCAGGGACTGCCCTCCCACTGATCACAGGCTTCAGTGGGCATGGGGACGGAAGTTTCTCTCCCTTGCCCATACCACCATATGGTAGATGACGGGTGGGGCACAATCTCTCATGATGACATTCTCAGGGTCAGCTCTGCTGTCCCTGGCAGGGTACAGGGCCATTATCCTTAGTTCTGCATATGGTAAAGGGCAGGGTCACCTCTCCTCTGCCACTGGTGGCAAGGGGCAAGGAGGGTAGGACGTCTTTCCTTTTCCCTAACCACCACATGGTAGACAAGGGGTGCAGGGCCAATTCTCCCCCTCTCATGATCTCAGGACAGGCTCACCTGTGCCCCCATCAGCAGGATCAGCACTACTATGGTACCCAGGTGAAGTGCAGGGCTCGCTCTCCTGAGTGCTATACATAGAGAGGGGTGAGAGATAAGGGGAGGGCATCTCTGCCCACCCACACTACATGACAAATGAGAATGGGCCTGCATTTATGCCTTCACTGTGTGCTCACCTGCATCATCACCAGTAGGGATAGCTCTACTGGGGTGCCCAGGTGAGGTGCAGGACCTGTTTTCCCAAGTGCTACAGCAAGTGAGACGCTGGGCCAGCTCACTTGACCTCAGGGCCACCTCTCCCACCTACAAGTGGTGAGAAGGAAGTAAGGAGAAGATATCTCCCCTTTGTTCACACCACATGGCAGATGAGAGGCAGGGACATATATCCCATGCTCAAACTGGGCCACCCTTTGATCTACTTGAAAAAATCTAGAACACAATATTAAATACCTTGATACAGAAAATGTCACACTGCGGTTTTTCAAATCACTGTGCAATACATTAAGAGATTCCAGAATCTGTTGTTGTTCATCCAACCACTGTTGCTCCCTTTAAACATGGAAAACAATCCAGTCAAATAAATATTTAAGTGTCAACTCAGTATGTACCAATGATTAATAGAAATTACAAGTTTACCTTTCTAAGTCTTCCTTTAACTTTTCATTCTTTGACTGAATAGTAGATACTACCATTTCAAGATTACATCTCAATTTTTGGAACTAAAATAAAAGAATGTAAGTTAATACTTAGTCTTTTGGCTTATACATAGTTTAGTGCCCAAATGATACTGAAATTGGTATAGAATATCTCAAAATAGAAGCCAATGTAAAAATGGCTAGCAGAAACAATTTGAAATGGTAAATACATAACACCCAGATGGTTTTCAGTGACACATCAATAATAAATATAACATATAAGAAGTTTCAAGCTACATATTTTAATTCTAAACTGAAATTAAATTAGAATTGTTTTTAGTAGATTAGGTCTCTTTACTAATGAGTAAACAAGTAAATTTTAATATTTTTGGAGTGGTTCAGTCTAACTCTTATGTCATAAGCTGAACTAAAACAGTTCTAATTATAAATTATTTAGAAATACTACAAATCCTAAATGGCTCACCTCTTCTTTTCCTAATGTTATCAAAACATCTTCAGTCAGGGGAGTTACTACAAAAATAAAACAAAGTCATATACACACTTCGTTAATTCTCAAAAATTTGATTTTGTGGCTTTTTTTGAGATATCTCTTTTTCCATTCCACTTATATTACCAAACTTTTATAAAACATATTAATTTTTGTGACTTCTAGATTAACATCTTTGAACAAAAAACCCCAAGTAAATAACAAGAGATAAAGTTGATATTAATGCATTTTTAAAATGTCTTTTTCTTCCTAAGACCTTAGAAGCATGCTAAATAATGAATGAACTCCTAAGACCTTTTTCTCTATATCTATATAATCTATATATATGTACATATATATCAAAAGGTGTATTTCTTGTCATTGTTGGTATTATAAGAATAGCACATCAGATATATTAGCATGGTTTTTCACTCAGCAGAACTCCCGTAATATAGAAATAGTTCATCATTTAATAACTGTATATTAACTATATACATATGTATATATCATAATGTAGTGTAATTTCTAAAATGGAGTACTAATACTGTACTAGGCATCTTTTTATGTCTTTATGTACTAGTGCTTTTAATTTCAAGGAGCATACTCCCAGAAATGGATTATATAGAATAAAATGCAAAATATAAAGAGAAAACCAGATACAAAAATACATGGCACAAAAAAACATGGCACAATAAATAAATAAATACATGGCACAGGAAGCTTAAGACTTTCATAATATAATAATAATAATAATAATAATAATAATAATCAAATCTACTAGTTGGATATTACAACTATAACATTCTAACTCATCTCCTATTCTTTAAAAATAGGCAAAAAATATATTTGGCTCCCATAGGACAAGACAAGAAGTAGCATAAAAACTACATGTTTCCTATTCTAAAAAGCATATAAAGTAATTTTTCCACTGTGCAAGTTTCAGTTCACGGTTTCTACTGAAATCAAGGTACTGTTTTTGAGGGTCAAATAATAACTATAATAAGGTCCTCATTATAAAGGATATTACACTCTAACATAAGAATTTAATGTACAAAGGAAAGAAAAATGGAGTGGTTCCTAGTAGCAATTGATCACGGACAATTTCAAGTACAAATGCATCTTGCCATTTTTGAGATCATTAATTTGTTTCTGTGTTTGTTTTGTTTTGTTTTGTTTTCTAAGACACAGTTTCTCTACATAACATTTCTGGTTATCCTGAAACTCACTTTGTAGACCAGGCTGGCCTTGAACTCACCCTCTACCTCCCAGTGCTGAGATTAAAGGTATGTACCACCACCGCCCAACAAAGTGATTAATTGGATATGCCCTTGTCAATAATATCTGAATCTAAAAATAAGAATCTTACTTTCGGGTGTTCTTTTGTTCCAATGATCAAGTTCAGCAGTCAGACATTTGATTTGCATAGAAAGTAATGAGAGCTGTTAAAAAAAAGATTTCAAGGTATTTCTAGTAGAATATTGATGAAAATATAATCAACACTGTAATGCTAGTTCAAAAATAAGTGTTATCAAAAGAGTATCACTAAACAGGTTCTAATACCATACTAACTATAGCTCATAAATGGTTTTTACAGCAACGTTATTGAAAATAAAGAATTCTGCTTTACGACCAAAACTAAAGAAACCTACATACATTACATTTACTTCCTAAATATACCTTTAAAAAAGACAAAAAAAAAAAAAAAAAAGCTAACATAGCAAGACATTCTCCCCACACACACAAAAAAAATAGAATGCTATGTCTTGCCAGGATTTTCAGCCAATTTTTTCTTAAATATGTTCACCCCCCATGATTTTTAAAAATATTATAACTGCTTTTAATTGTACTGAAAAAGAAATGTAAATATGTATGTGAAGATAATGGTCAGACTAGTTTCAGAGCCACATATAAAAAGCATTTTTTAAAAATACATTAGTACTTTGCAAAATATATCTTATCCTGAGACAAATTATGGTATGTTTTTGGTATGATAAAGACAAATTTAATTATGCTATAAAATAAACAACTCTTTCTAATAATAAAGCAAGAATAATATTTTGAAAGTAATAAATTTTCTATTAAAAAAATGTCTAACTTTTTGCTTCAGAAAAGAGATTAAGCCAGGTATAGTGAAATAAGCTTGCAAATCAGCACTCAGAGAGAGACACAGGTCAAGAACAGCTTCAGCAACATGACAAGTTCAAGCTAGAGCGGGCTGCATGAGACCATTTCTTTAAAAACAAAACACAGAAAACCGAGTTTGAGTGCTAAAGGCATGGTGGTACTACACATGCAGAAATGAGGTATCAAAGCAAACCAGAAACTCCTACCTCTTAAAAGGCCTGCTCATAGCCATCCATCAGCCCTTGACTTGGATTTCTGAACTTAGAACGCACTTCCTCTCAACCTTAGCCATACACCTCTTCCCTGTGCTGATTTGATTCTACATCCATTCACCATAATAAACCTTAGCTACAAGAAGACTAAGTCCTATGAGTCCTCTGTGAGAATCATCAAACTTACAAATGACCACAAGGACCCGCAACACAACAGGAATTACAAAACTATATTCTTTGCCCGTTTCTAACTTAGTTCTGGTTGATGCTTTTATGTATATAAAACTCCTCGCAAAGTCAGTGCTTGGTATACGGGGTGAAAACCACTCACATTTCTTTGTAGGCTTAGTGTCCAGGGATTCATATTTTGTAAGGTCTTAATTTCTACAATTAAGGAACCACATTTTCCCAAGGAAAATGATAGGTTAGTTAACACACGATAATGCACTTGAAAATGGTATATTCAGTTAGACATTTACAGTACATTGCATATGTGCAGACTCTAAAACATTTTATGGATACAAAAATTATATTGGGAGCTCCAATATTTGTTGCATAAAAGTTTACAATAGTATTTTCTTGATGAATTGCTCCTTTTATTAACATGTAGTATCCCTTTTTAAATATCTCTTCTAAGTATTTCTGGTTTGAAGTTTATTTTGCCAGACATAAGGATAGCTATGATTGTCTGCTTACATTTTCTGTTTCCTTGGTATTTTTTCCATCCTTTGATACTAAGTTTTGGAGAATTTTTGCTGTAAAAATGTGGTTTTTGGAGATAATATATAGTTGGTTGTGGGTTGATTTTTTTACTTTAAATAGAAGGTTTTCTGTTTCAGGATATAGGTATTAGAGTCAGTGAGATGGTTCGGCAGGTAACGTGCTTGTTGCACAAATCACCTAGCCACCTGAATTCAATCCCTGACGCCTATGCAAAGGTGGAAGGAGAGAAATGACTTCACAAAGTTGTTCTCCGACCCCACCACATAAACACACACTGTGGCATGCATGGCTCCTTATCCCCATCATATGCATGCACACACACACACATACACAAAATAATCCTTAATTATAAAAGAATATAGGTATTAACAAAGTTGTTATATTGGAATAAATATAAGCAGATAAACTTCTTTCCAAAAAGCATGAATTCTGCTTACCTATTTTCTAGAACAGAGTATAAGTTCATACCTGAGCATTTGAGCTAGTGAGTGTCTCAGTTCCAATGAGTGACAATTTATTCTGGCACTTGATTTAAAAAGTAAAGAAAAACAAGTGGCGTATTTATAATCCATTGACAATTACCTTCTCCTCCCTTTTTATATTAGCCCCATACAATACCCTTCTAAAAAACCATGGGAGTTAAGAGAACAAGAAAGTACAATAGAACAATAACAAAATAAGTAACTAAAAACGTAAGAAAATAAACATCCAAGAGACATTGTTTACCTGACATTAAAAACATCTAACAATGTTAATGATTGTATTTGATAGTTGAAAATATGAGTAACTTAAGTCTTATCTGTCCTCATTTCTGGTTGTAATAATTTTAATTTTTAAGTTATTGTTAAATCCAAGTTTTGATAAAAAAAAGAATAATAAAAATTATCTAATAAGTACATTAATGATATACAGTACCAAAGATTTTGCTAAACGATTTTTTAAAAAATACTCCATTCATCTTTCCTGCTCTGACAGTTTAGTGACAGAACAGGATGCTATCTATATACATAAAAAAAAAATCATTCATCACTTCTGCTCTGACACGTTCCTGAAGCACTACGTTTATCTGTAACTTATGTCATATACTGTAAAATATATGTAAATATATTGTAAATATTTTGTAAATATATTGTAAAATATATGTAAATATATTGTAAATATTTTGTAAATATATTGTAAAATATATGACATAAGTTACAGATAAACGTAGTACTTCAGCGTATTTTTCGCATACAGAGTATGCTAAAAAGAAACCTTACGAAAATAACATAGTGTACCAAGTGTCTCTAGTTCATTAAAATAAATATATATACATACATAATTTCAAGTTAACATTTGTATTCATGTTACACTCATAATTCTTATAATTATGTTATATAATGTGTTATTATATATTATTTATTATATATTATATTTATATTATATTAATTAATATTATATTGATATCTTATTATTTATTGTTATATATTATTTCTATTTCTATATTCTACTGACCAAAAACAGGTACTGAAATAAAATCTCCTTGAGAGCCAGAACTACAATCATTTTTTTCTCTTTCTACAGTTTACCTAGTATAAAGTTTCTTAAGAGAACACTTTATAAGTTTTACATATAAAATATATATAATTTATAAAATAAGAGCTATGGGGAAACTAACACCATTTCCTAAGTTTATTATGTAATTTTATATTAACTAACATATCACTTTTACCTATTGATACTTACATCTTCCATGTCTTCCCACATTTTTTCACACTGTTTAATAAGTTCTTCCTCAGTATCTATAACAACTTCCATATCTGTAGTAATATCTGGATGTAGTTCTGGTTGATTCTCTGACATATCCTTTACAGTTTTCTTCACCTTAATGGAAAAACTAAAGAAAAAAAGATACATGCATTTGGCAATCATTTGCTGAATATAGCAGTGACTAACAGACAAAAGTCCTTTGAGAAACATGAGCACAATACTGTTGCAGGGATATCTAAGTATTAGCCACTGTAGAAAAGAATAAGGATGCAACAGCAAAGCACTATTCACAATAACCCAGATATGATCAACTGTAAGGTCCTTCTCTTGTAATAGGAGGGGCAGTAAAGGAGCAAGATACAGATAGATACAGATAGAGTAGATGTGTTGGCAAGAGCATGTGGAAGCTGTGTTTGGATTACTTCTTCCTAGTAAGTGAAATGTTATTATGTTAATTATGTTAACTATGTCATTATGTTAATCAGTTGTGAGTAAGGATAAATAGAAGGAATTCAAAATTTAAGAGCAGATACAGCCAGGTGTGGTGAACCATGCCATTAATCTCAGCACTTGAGAGGTAAAGGCAGATGGAATTCTGTGAGTTCAAGGACAGCCTGGTATAGTAAGGAATTTCAAGGCAGCCAGGACTATATAAAAGAAAAACCCTGTTTCAAGCAAGGGAGGAGGGCTGGAAAGATAGATTATCCCTTAAAGTTTTTACAACCAAAAATTTAAGAGTAGAGGTGGAAAGGGTGTAAAATGGTTATATAAGAGAACTCAAAAAAATATAAACCAGTTTTGGATAGTGGCCCAATTAAAACAATAATGAGCTGTGCAAGGTGCTACAAGCCTTTAATCCCAGCACTCAGTAGGCAGAGGCAGGTGTATCTCTGTGAGTTCAAGGCCAGTCTGGCCTCTAAGGGAATTCCAGGATAGCCAGAGCTCCTACAGAAAGAGACCCTGGCTTGAAAAGCCATAACTAATAATAATAGTAATAGTAATAACAATAGCAGCATATTAAAAAGGATGACAGTCATCCAGAAGCTAAAATTTTTCAAATAAAGAAAAGAGATCGGCTGGAGAGATGGCTCAGAGGTTAAGAGCAGTGGCTGCTCTTCCTGAGGGCCTGAGTTCAAGTCCCAGCAACAACATGGTGGTTTGCAACTATCTAATGAGATCTGGTGCCCTCTTCTGGCCGCCAGGCAAATATGCAGGCGGAGCACTGTAAGCACAATAAATAAATCCTTTAAAAAAAAAGTTCTTGTTTCTTTTTTTAAGTAACAAAAAAGGCTGCTGCAAAGAATATGAGTTGATAATTTATCATGAGATTTAAAGTTAAGTAAATTTACGAAAATAGATGGAGAAATAACCAGAGAGGACTTCTAGGCTACAATGTCAAATGTAAATCACAATAAACACCACCCCAAAGTATTTTTTACTCATATGGACTTAAGTTTATATTGCTTAACCATAAGTTACCAACAGAGCTGTAAAACAGATCTAAATAGATACAACACTATACAAACTATGCCCTTTAAGTCAGTAATGTAAAGATGTCAATTCTCCCCAAATTGAACTATTTTATCTTAAGTCTAAAAAGCGACAAAAAAAGTTGCACTGGAAGAGTAAATTCTAAAATCTATATAAAAATATAGAGATCCCAAAATACCAAAGATCCATTGGATATAACTAAAATGTAAAGTCGGCTCATGAACAGGCAAACTGAAACACCGAACACAACTGCTCACAGACACACGCAAGTCAAAGAGAATATTCTAATAGCGGGAGCCCATCTTATAGTAAATTCAAAATATAGTCTGGCTGATAGAGATGTACTTCATTCTTTTAACAAAAAGTTCTCCCCAACCCCTCCCGCCTGCCCCTCCATCTTTTTCTGGGATAACCAGCTAGGTTCTGGAACGCCGTGGCCCTGGAGGCTGAGAGGGGCGGGGCATCCAGTTCCCGGGCTGTAAGTATCCGATTGTTTGGGGGGCCGGATCCCCCAAACTTGCGAGCTACCATCCTCGAAAGAAATTAGGGTTGTCACAGCGCTGTCCCCCCCTGCTTACCCAGCCAGAACCAATCTCAACTCCCCTCAGCACTCAGGCCGCAACAGCGCTCCCGTCACCGGCCAGGCCGGGGGTTTGCGCGCGCTGCTTGCTGATTGGGTCAGCGCTGGTCCACACCAGCCAATCAGGAACGTCCTCGGCCGCTGCCGTACAGGCTGCGCCGCCGCTGCTGCGGCCTTCCGAGCTCGCTCGGCCGTCGCGTCTCTTGTGACGCCGTACACAACATGGCGGCCGAGAGTGGCAGCGATGCTCAGCTGAGAAGAAGGCGGCGCCGGGACCCAGACGAACGGGAGAAGACGGAACTCGGCGACCGAGAACTGGCCATGGCGGTGGCGGCGAGCGAAGAAAATGAGGACGAGAGTGAAGAGCGTTGGGTTGGGCCTTTACCGGTGGAGGCGACCCTGGCCAAGAAGAGGAAAGGTAGCTGCGGAGAGCCCGCCCGAGAAGGAGCTGGAAGGCTGCCTGGCGGTGTGGGAGGGTCGCTTTCCAGCACGCGCGCGAGCGGGAGTGGGACACTGGGTCCGTGGCTTTGAACGGACCGGCTTTACCTCGTTTCCTCCCCAAATGGGGATTTGGTCTTGGTACAGTGTAATTTTCAAACTCTGAAACCCTGTTGCTCCCTGGCTCGTTAGCATAGATGCTACGACTGGTGCTGGTGTTTGTTTGTGTTGGGTGCTTTGATGGACCTCGTAGCTGTCACGTAAAGTTGGAACTCCTAATTTTGATTAGCACTTGTGGAAGGAGTACGGGTTCTTAGAATCATAAATCTTAAATTCACCACCCCGACTCTTCTACGAATGAGGTTTCAAACCTAGCGGAAGTTGCTTAAGTTTGCTGGATTTGAAGTCATACTCGAGACAAAATAGAAGTATTTCACCATAACAAGGTTTGTTTGTTTGTTTGTTTGTTTGTTTTTTAAGGCTGGAAAGGGGATAAGTTAAACTTTACTGTTTTAAACCCTTTCCTAATAACTTTTAGGAATGTGTCGCGCGGTGTGTGTGTGTGTTAAGAGCTTCTTTAATCATGCCTTTTAACAGATAGCTTTCTAGGCTTTAGGTGTGTGGGGGGGTGGGGGTGTAACTCCTTTCACCATGCTAGCTTTTTAACTGGAAGCCTTCTAGGTTTTAGGTGTAGTGGTTGCTAAATATTGTCATCTGTCCTCCTGTTAAGTGTTCCACAGCAGCCTTTGCCTTCGTGGCACGTAACTACGTTTTGTAGTTATGTATTTATTCCTGGGACTTTCTGAACACTACTAGACTAAGCATGTAAGGACATGGATCATGCACTTTTTCCGCCAACCCTTGGTACAGTGTTTTGTATAGAAATATTTAATAAATATTTTATAACATTTATGCTGTTATTTCACTTAAATATTACAACATGTACTACTTAAATGGAGGAAATGAGGATGACTAGGAAGGAAGAAAGAAATTAAGCACTGAAATACTGGCAGAGGAAGCAAGTGTCTTATAAACAATACAGTTTTGACAGAAAAAATCTTTACCCTTAGCCAATGCTTTTTTGAAAAAACAAAAACAAAAACAAAACAAAAAAAAAAAAACAAAAAAAACCCTCTGAAACTACAAAAATAAAGATTTGTTACAAAAATGTGAAACATCTAAAATGTTTAACAATTTTTAACTTGTAGAAATGGAGCTAAGATTGGACTGTATATCACAGTGATATACAGTTGTATGATACTTCATTAGATTAAGCTATTTCTAAAATCCATTCCTTTTTATTATTTCATGTGTATGAATGTTTGCCTGCATGGATGTACACACCATGTGGATGTCTGGTGCCCAAGGAGTCCAGAAGAGGGCATCAGATATCCTGAAACTGGAGTTAGAGATAGAAGAGCAGCCAGTACTCTTAACTGCTGAGCCTTCTGTCTGACCCCAAATTAAGTTACATTTTTTATTTATTATTATTGTATGTGTTGGTGGGGTCAGAGAGGTGGGAACACAAATACCACAGCACAAGAGTGGAGAGCAGAGGACAACTTTGTGGAGTTGGTTCTTTGCTTTTACCTCTGTGTGGGTTCCAAGGACTGCACTCAGGTCACCAGACTTGAGCAAGGACCTTTACTCTCGGGACCGTCTCCCCCATCTTAAACTATTTCTTAAGGAAAATAATTTCTTTGTTTTCTTTATGTCCAAGTTCCCTTGAACATATTCAAAGGCATTAATGAATAATAAAAGATATCTAGAACAGATAAGATAAAATTTATTACTCCAACTAACAGTGGAAGACTACTTTTATATTTTAAAAAAGTGCCAAAATAAGCAAGCCAAGATTGGTGTGGAAGCTCCACAAGATCGTAGACACCCTTTGCTCAAACATAACAAGTGTATGGCCTTCATTTTCATCGTCCTCAGCCCTTAAAATTACAGCATTAATAATCTAGCTCCAAGCTAGGGAAGAAAAGGAAACTTTTTAAGAATGTGTTCTCATCATCACAAAACACTTGCTTTTTTTCCCATCATGTAGTTCATGCGGTCACTACAGAAGACTGAGAAAGGCCATTTAACCAAATGTTAGTAGGCACCCATAAAAATGGGGATTCCGTTACTCACAAAGTTAATGGAAAATAGATTGACAGACATTTATTTATTTATTTGTTTGTTTGTTTATTTATTTATGTATTATACAATATTCTGTCTGTGTGTATGACTGCTGGCCAGAAGAGGGCACCAGACCCCGTTACAGATGGTTGTGAGCCACCATGTGGATGCTGGGAATTGAACTCAGGACCTTTGGAAGAGCAGGCAGTGCTCTTAACCTCTGAACCATCTCTCCAGCCCCGACAGACATAATTTTGAGTGTGCTATATAACAGTACAAGAAGCTAACAGTTTGTCATGTTTAATTTACCGACTTTATATAGGCCATGATTGATCATCTTATTTAGAAACAATACCTTTTTTAAATAGATTGTACTAGTAAAATTGGTCCTGGCTCATAATAAAATTGATTTTTTTTTTGGGTGTTTCTCAATTTTCCATTTTTTCAGGTGTTGTACTTCTAGAAAAATGCCTGAGAGGCCAGGCAATGGTGGCGCACGCCTTTAATCCCAGCACTCAGGAGTCAGAGGCAGGCGGATCGCTGTGAGTTCAAGACCAGCCTGGTTTACAGAGCTAGTTCCAGGACAGGCTCCAAAGCCACAGAGAAACCCTGTCTCGAAAAAAAAAAAAAAAAAAAAAAAAAAAAAAAAAAGAAAAGAAAAATGCCTGAGAAGCACTCAACTGGATGTGTTAGGATTTCCTCAGCTCTAAACATCTAAGCATTTCATTTTGTTTTCATTTTTCAGTTCTTTTTCAATGCTGTAATAGAGAATTTTTGCCTTAAAAATAAATATACATCTTAAAACTAGCCATTAGCTTATTAGTTAAAATAACAATAACTGAGATCTATATGGTTATGGAGGTTGTGTTATTTTCCTAAAGCTTTAAGTCTTTAAACCTTCCTATTAAGCCAGAACCATGAAAACCATTGAAACAGGAGGTGGAGGTATAGCTCAGTCATTAGATGCACTTGCTGCTCTTCCAGAGTTTGATTCCCAGCACCCACACACATCAAACAGCTCATAAACCACTTGTAATTCTAGTTCAAATGGATCCAGTCCCCTCGTCTGGTCTCATTGGGTACATGTACACACAGGGCATACAATGGTACAGACAAAAATATTTGGAACAGTATATAATCCCTGAGAACCTGTCATAGAAACTAGTGCAGCTGACATAACAAATATTGTATGTATTTTTTATCCCATTTGTTGATTGAAAGAAAATTTAGACGAGAATACAAAATTTAGAAAATTCTAATTAGTCATGTTAATTTCATTAATTAAATATAATTTCCCCCTCCCCCAGTTCTAGAGTTTGAAAGAGTCTATCTTGATAATCTCCCCAGTGCATCCATGTATGAGCGCAGTTACATGCACAGAGATGTTATCACGCATGTGGTATGCACCAAGTAAGTGTATCATCCTTTTATGTTATGTGTATGAGTGTTTGTGTATGTCTGCGTCACTTGTGTGCCTGGTACCTAAAAGAGTGTGACCTCTGTGAACTGGAGTTACAGTAAACTTTGTAAACTGCCATGTAGGTGCTGGGAGGTGAATCCAGCAGCCAGTACTCTGTCTTACTGAGCTATCTCTCCGTAGCTCATATTATACATTCTCAGAAAAAAAAAATCTAAAGCTTAATTATGAGTGGATTTACAGAAGTAATTTGGGAATTTTATAGATTTAATTCTGCAAGTTCTGTAGTAATTTAACAAAGCCCTGCATGTTTTCTTATATAAAATGAATAAACCAGTATTAGTAGAGCTTTCCTAAAGAAGATAGTATATTCAGATAAGAATAATAATATTAATAATTTGACTTCTTTGGTGTTTATAGAGAAGCTGATGGTAACTCAGACCTCCTAAAATTATCAGAGGACCTTCAAAATGGATGAATAGGAAGACTCAAAGAGTAATAATAGTAGAAATAATGTCCCTCTTGTGTTTAACTCATTCTATGTCTACATACTGTTGGGATGTATTTCATTAATTACCTGATTTATCTTAAGAACAGTTTTAAAAGTCATAAAATCTTCATTTTATAGGTGAGAGAACTGTGGAGTACAAATGTTAAGTGGCAGAAGAAGCTAAAGAAAAAATAAAACAAATTCCAAATTTCTATTCCTTATTTGGATTTTGAACCTAAGTGCGAGAGTAATGTTAAGTTCATAGTTTTAAAAGGAACATCTTGACTATACTCAGATGAATGCTTTCAAATAGGTCAAAAGTAGGTAGAGTCTTGTGTAGAAATTTGGATCAGCTGTGATTGGGACTTGGCTGATATTGGCAGTGATCAAAACTAGATGAACAGTCCAAAAAAAAAAAAAAAAGAAACAAGAACAGTTCACTGTTTATTTCTTAAAACAGATTGCATTCCTTCATATTATAAAAATGGGATAATTCTGACCAAATTTGGTTTTTTTTATCCAAAGGTGTAGAGTTTAACAAAAAGGTTTTTCTGTTTTTGCCAAGTGTCTGTGTGTGTGAGAGAATCTGAAGTCATTCACCATGCAGTGTAATGTGAATAAATTAGCTGTCTAAGTAGTATGTGTAAAATACTAAATGTATATACACTGTGCTCCTCAAATGGATTCCGTTTTTATATCTGTATGGTGGGA